TCTTTATAGTGTTCACTCTGAGCCTGAGCAGTGCTAGCATTACGTATTTTTTCTTTGTCACTGCCCAAGATATAAATGTTCTAAAAAAGTATCTAATTATTTAGGCCAAAAATATCAACTGAGGATGCTTATCATTTCGACAACAGTTACAACAGAATTAGTGCATTGACAATGATTCTTTTCAGAAGGTACCAGATGTCTTGTGACTTTGTAAATGATTACATAACATGGTTAATAACAGACTGAATAATAATTTTTGAAATGCTAATAAAATAATATAGATGACCAGATGTTAAAATAAGAGGCCTATTTCAAAATTATATTATGTTATCATTAATTTTTTCCCTGACACAACGGTTTTACTACACATCATTCTAAAATAATATCATATTGTACAATATGTATTATCATACTCAAAGTATATCATCTGGATTTGTAGATAGACATGAATATTCTGGAAATTACTTTTCAACAGTAGTATTTAATACATCTTTACACACAAATGCAGAAATGTTCCTGGTGGGACGTATGCAATAATCTTGGTAAATTTTGACGAGACAAAATGGCATGATTGTGAAAATGTCAAGTTAGTTTTTTTAGGACTCATTTTTAATATTGCTATATTGACATGCCTGGGGAAATTGTGCGTTATTATGGTAAATAATTATTATTCCTGTCTTGTTTAAACCATTTTCTTCTTTTTCTTCAGTTTTTGAGCTTTTCAGATCGATTCAATTTGTGTAAAGGATTTTACCTTATCACAGTATGAATTTTATTCATTTATTATTCTTTTTAAAACACAGCTTATTGTATAATTCGTTTTCTTTGTGGCAACCACCTTAGTAACCACATTCTATAGTAATGCAGGAAAAAATCTTTCTCCATTAGCAGGACAAGAGTCGTGTTATGTGTTCCAAAACAGACATGTTATAGTTTAATACAATAAAAAATTCATTACGCACAACAGTACAAAACACATATAAAAAGACAGAAAGTGTCCCAGAGACTCATGAACATTTGTCTCACAGCCAGCACTTGCCAATTGAAAGGTATGCTTTCAATAAGACCTGGCACCTGCCGTGACTCAGGTGGGTATTCTGTTGTGAATCACCAGCTCTAATACAAACAAGTTAGCCCTATAGAGGAAGTTGTTGAATCCCGTCCTGCTGCTCTCTTACAGATGGAGTACTAAAACAGCCTTCAACTTCAAATCTCATTGAAACCAGTCACTAATAACAATATTTTAAATTAAAGTAAAGTGAAGCCTTGGAGCCGACTGGCTCATAGCTGTTGGAGCTTATCCCGGTTTCTGTAGCATGCTAGTCCATCGCAGGTCATTCCCCCGCAATTTGTTAGGTTTCCCCAACAATTCGCCAGTACCCATTTACACTCCTGGGTGGAGAGAGGCACTGTGAGAGTTAAGTGTCTTGCCCAAGAACACAACACAGTGTCCCCGGTCAGGGACCGCTCGATCCGGGGACGAGCGCACTAACCATGAGGCCCTCGCGCCTCCACTCCTCCTCATACGAAACCTTCTAATTTTCGCTATATTTAAATCGTCAGTAAACCTCAATCTGACACGGCATTGGTCTGAAAATTGCTGTTCTGGTTATTTTAAACAAGCTCTTTCCAGTTCTGAAATTCATTTAGCTTTGAAGCTGTAGTTTAGAGTAAAGGAATTATCGTTCACGTGACAAACTGCTGCAAAAGGCCTGTTCCATTGGTTTGCGGATTTTCCCGCCATTTTGAAAAGACTGGGAATTCTCTCGGTCAAACTAAAACTTTATTTCGCGCCATTGTTCTTCAGCTACTCCAAAATAGCGGGAATAGAAAAGCGGATTAGCTTTTTTAACAGAAGAAAAAAAAAAACTCTTTTTGTAACTGGCTAGCGCTTGGAAAAGAAAATACCAGACAAGGCCCTCAAAATTGCATGTGTAACGGTAGCGAGATTGAGCAAGTCACTTCACAGAAGTTCTTAGGAGTAAAATTAGACAGCCAACTGAATTCCACTGAACATATCGACGACCTTTGCAAAAAGGTGTCACAAAGGATTGCTACACTTAAGAAGATTAAGCGTAACTTGCCCCTTGCAGAGCACAAGCTATATTTTAATGCTTTGATTGAGCCTATAATGTTGTATGGATCTTGCGTATGGACCACGGCGACGGAAGAGAACGTGAAACGTGTTTTTAAACTGCAAAAGCGTACAGCTCGTGTTATTCTTGACGCAGATTTTAGTAAAAGGAGCGCGGAGCTTTTTAGCCGGCTTGACTGGCTGCTACTGAAGAATGAAGTAAATCTTCAAAAGAGTAGTTTAATATTTAGGCGCATAAAAAACGAACAAGACTGTCCAAGCTACATAACGAACCTATTACCCAGAAATGCAGATACCAGGAGTGTCACCGGAGCTAGCCGCTATGGAATGTATAATCTGGCGTGTCCGCGTTATAATAGAGAAACTGAAGAATAGGGAAACTGAAAGGGGGCGTACTTTTCAAGTTCGTGAGGTTAAGCTTTGAAATGTGATTTCACTCGATGCACGAAAGAACGACACCGTTAACGGCTTCAAAACTGCTCTTGAAAAATATTTGTTTAGCCTATTTTCGTGTCTTTTTTTTTATCTAAAAATTTAAATTGATATACTTTTTTCTTAATTTCTAGTACTTTTAACTGTTAATTTGCTGTATTTATCTTAGTATTATTAACATTTGTAATTTAGATTGAGGGCCACTGGTTTATCAGTTTTTACTGTCTTGTACTACCCTCGAAAAATAAAGTTGTTACTTACTAAGCAATGTACAGAGTGCATTTTATTCCATAAATAAACATGTCGCTGAGTGGTCTGAAAACGATTACAAAATGCTCTTAGGATTCGGAAAGTCTGTTCCAAATCTGGTTAACCATTAAGTTTATTTAAAAAAGACTCGATATGCAGATTAAATGTGACAAAAGTTGTCAAAGTACGTAACTGAACTGACAATTTTCAGTGTTTTAACTGACATTCTGTATACGCTTTGTAGTTTATAACTCTTCTTTAAGAAGATCTCCATATTTTGTGACGCGGCTTCCAGCAAAAAGTCCGTGGCGCTTGACAATTTCCTCCACCGATAACATCTCATCCTATGGAGAAAAGAACAAAAGAGTTGTAAAAATAGAGTAGAAATAGTGAAAATGTAGTTTTCCAATACTCACTAAATTTACGTCGTAAAAGAAACAAAGAATAAAAAACAAGAATTACAAAGAAACATTGCAGCTTGTCGAAAGATTGCACCGAAAAGAATAACTCATCTGTGCAAAGCAATGGACGATCTAACGTGATAAATGTACACTTCGGAAAACTTGCGAAACTTAGCGATGCATGCATTGCAATGTTAAATTTGTGACGAGCATTTTAGAGAACAACAGAAAATAACATTCAAAGCATGACAAGGCATTGTAAATATACCTAATTGTAGGTTTTCCTTTCGCTTCGGCGGCATATCAAGTGGATTTTTTCGAGCCATGGTTTGAATTTTAGTAAGACGCAGTATAACGTAAATACCCATGACGAGACTAATTTGAAACCAGCCTGATATGCCGCCGAAGCATACCAAGCAACGGCACAATTAGTTATTTACGGTATCCATATTCGGCCACAACTCCTGCCATATCAGGTCAGTGATTTGATATTTATACCTAATCATACCTTTTTGGTTCGCTTCGGCGGCATATCAAGCGAGTTTGGTCGAGCCATGGTCCGTATTTTGGCGGGACCTAGTCGATCGAGTACGATTAGGTATTGATCGCACCCAAATACGGCCAGGTGAGCATGATATCGTAGCCATATCATGCAGGTCACTGACGATATCACAGGATATCAAGACCGTAGACACGGCTTCTGATTGGCTAATTGCGAAATTGAATGCAGTAAAAGTAGAGCGAATATTGTACTGTCCTAAATAACTTAAACACCGTTTTTCTTCTCAGTTGTCAACCAAGCTCTTTTATTCAGAGTTACTCATTAGACTGACAGGTTACCTCATTCTCGTCTCCCAGTTTCATGAGATGATCGGCTTCGGCTTGAATGGGGTCCTCAGCTACCCCGGGAAGGATCCAATGTCTCATCTCTTTCTAAAAGAGCGCAAATAAGAACAACAATAAGGCTCCTTACGAAAATAATGTCCACAGTAAAAAGACCCATTCTATTCCTGTCTGGAATTTTTTAGGTTAAGGTAGGTAAAGTCTGCATACGAGCCAAGTGGCCCATCAGGCCGGAGCCTATCCCGGTTTCTGTAGCACTAAGCGACTAGGAGTATTTCTACTCCCCCCTGGATGGGATGCTAGTCCATTGCAGGGTTACCCCCAGCATTTAATTCGCTGGTACCCATTTGTACACGTATGTGGAGAGAGTCACTGTGAGAGTAAAGTGTCCTGCCTAAAAACACAACACAATGTCCCCGGCCAGGGCTCGAACCCGGACCGCGCGATCCGGAGACGAGCGTACGAACCATGAGGCCAACACGCCCCCACTGCGATTTTTAGAATTTCCTAAAATAACCTGAAACTTTAAGCGCAAAAATAATTTCTTGGCCATTGGCTCAGGATTCGTTAATGGCAGCTAAAGAAATTTTCAATGGAATGCTCTAAGTGGTATCAAATACGATTTCAACCTCTGAGAGTTTAAAGCAGCATTTTTTTTTTTCACCTCCTCCTTCCCGGGATTCAAGGATATGCAGCGTGCGCACATAGCCACTCCAATGCTCTCGGGCGGTTTGTCGTTTCACCAGGGAGGAATCGGCCGGGAGTGATAGAGGTGGAGTCAATTGGCGGTGCTTAAAGCCTGGTTTTCACTTGCGACTCAAGCACAAGCGCAAACACAATAATTCTTATTTCACCATGAAAACGGCCTTGACGCAGGCATAAGCACAAGCGCAAGCACAAGCACAAGGGTCAAAATTTTTCTTTTTAATTTTCTTGTGCTTGCGCTTATGCTTGCGTTTGCGCTGCAACAAGTGAAAACGAAATATCGCTCAGGCATGACACAGGCACAAGGATATTTACCACACGTGGTTATGTTTGGCCAATGAAAATACTGGGTCCAGTTTACCTCGCGCCTTGGAAGGTTCGGATGAGCTTGAGTCGAATTTCGTTTTCACTTGGGTCATCCCTATTGCTTGCGTCTGTGCTTGCGCTTGTGCTTGCGTCGCTAGTGAAAACCAGGCTCAAAGGAGCTACGTCACGGCTTGCTCATCTTGGAAAATTTAATCTGAATATTTCAAGTTCGTCGTTTGTAATCCGTGTTAATCTTCTCCATCCTAAACCATCCTTGAACCTTTATGGTTTATTATCATCTATTTGGTGTTTTTCTATCTTAGTAAACTATTAGTTTCAGGTTTTCTTCAATTTAAGGGTAACTTTGTACGTGGTTAAGATCACTCAAAATGCCGTGACTAAGCTCCTTTAAGGATATTATGCTAAAAGGCAAATTTTACAACACACACCTGATCAATGTATCCATCTTGGTTCTTATCCAACTCCTCCTTAAAGCTCTTTGCTATCCTCTTTCGGCTGCTCTCACTTAACGCTTGCGTTTCTGTCGCTGTTATGACAATAAAGAAACAATAAAATATGAACAAGCTTCAAGTCGTGACGCTTAAAGCAAAAAGATATAAAAATGTCTGCACTTGTACGTGCAATCAGAGCTGAGGCATCAAGCAAATTATTTAGTCCAAGCAAGAGAAGATCAAGTTACACGCCTTGATTTTCTCTTGGCTCGAGTTGATTATTGAGAGCATAACAATTCCCTAGGAATACATTTTTCGCCTGGGGTCCTACTTCGCTTTTCGTTCCATGCAGTGACAAAGAGTTATGCTCCCCCACTGCATCACAGAGTTTGCCCTCCCCTCCCCCGCAGCATTTCGTGAGGTTGCGCAAACGATTTCTTAGTGAACATTTATACACCTGGGTGGAGTGAGTCACCGTGAGAGTAAAGTGTCTTGCCCAAGAACACAACACAATGGCCTGCACCCCCTGAGCAAGGAAAACCAGCCCCCGGTTAAACAAATTATGAAGTCAACAATTTAATGCTAATTTTCCCGCCAAGAAAGTTCCAAAAAGAGTTTCGCTGATTTGGAAATACGAGTAATTGGAAGAGCTGGGAGTTGTTTTTGCAGGAAAAATTTTTTTCGCCGAATGGCTTCACGGGATAAAAGATAAGACTGGCGCTTGTACAAGGAGATTTCATTGTCATACTCTGCCCTCCCCACTGAAGTTGTAATTTTAGACCTCGTGCTACACCCGGCTTCCAGGCAATGCTGTTATTTTATATTTCGGTTACCTTCTTCCTAGCTGGGAGACGGCGACTTCATAGATGTTTCTCCCGGGAGTGGGGAGGGAAGGGATAAATTTCTGCTGTCAACTGGAAATATTGTTTTGAAAGAGCTTATTTGTTGTTTACTTTGTGCTCAATCGGTGTCCTGATATATTTCAACAAAATGCCTTGTTGGTTGTCAAGGAAACGATGAAATCATCGCCATTAGAAACAAGTTTCTCTCTTAACATACCGAGGTATTCCTCAAGGGAAACTTTGCCGTCATTGTCTCTGTCAAAGATATCCAGGTTTTCCTGTAAGATCGAAGCAATTCATGTCTTATTCATACAACAAGGAAGACAGTACTCAAAGAAAGAATAAGCTATTATGTTTTCATGGCCGCCAAATTAGTGTTCCCAAACTAAAGGGAATGTTTACCTAAGGATCTCGTTTTTGAAAGGACAGAAACTTCGTTGTTTTGAGATCACCAATATCAGCCTCGATCTCAGGCCCTCCCTCCTTTGCCTCCCTTGTCAAGACAGGCAAGGAGAGGGAGCCTGGGATCGGCGTTGCATCAATATGGCCGCCGTGACGCCATGTGTAAATATCCCATGAGGGTGAACAGAATGTACCTTTTTGATAGTTTTTTCTTTGACAGTTTGCCAGAAAATTTACTACCCCAGTAAAATAATAATGTGTGGAAAGTTTGACTGCTTCACTATTTCCATCTGATATCAGTGCTTCTTCTGATACAGGTTTAGAGAAACGGTTCAAGCAAAAATCGAGCTAAGGCTAAATTTACTAAAAGTTCAGCCAAACATCCCACAGTTCATCGACTTCGTTTTAGCCCGGTGTCGTCCCCTTCCAGCCATATCTACATGTCACGTGATAATTACCTTAACAAGGTATGACGTCATCCTCTTTGACTCTTCAGGATGCAAGAAAAGTGTGAGTTCTTCTCGCGACAGCAGTTTGTCGCCATCCGTATCGGCAAATTCGAATCGTCTTTTGTCTCTCAAAATTATTTCCCTCAGCTCTGTTAGGACTGGGCCGGACAAACCTGTAACATGATTATTTCAATTTAATTTAATTCTCATATCAATTAATTACTCGTTAACGGCTTGAGAATGTATCGTATTGAAATTGCTCACAACGAGACTTATTTCTAACCTTTTTCTAGAGATGGCGGGAATTCCACTGCCCTGTACTCTTCCCATGATACCTTGCCATCCTCATTCGTGTCCAATTCGCTCAGTCTCACATCGGTCCCGTGCAGCACGTGTTTTTTCATGTGCTGTTCAATCCAGCCATAAAGTTCAGTCATTGACACTTGGTTGTCATTATCGATGTCTATCTTAGGGAACAGTGCCCTGTTTAGGGAAAAATAGAGTAGACATCTAAATAGAAAGACCTGGTGACGAGCGCGGGAGAATATGCATCAGTTCACAGGGGCACAATCGAGTTCCCAGAGATTGCGTTACCCTTGTCCAGCGGTTCCTGTTCAGCTGGATAAGGATAACGAAGGCTTTGGGAACGAGATTGACACGGACGGGAAAATGCAACGATGACATGCGCAGAAAGACACATCAGGTGACGAGTGCGGGAAAATGAATAACCGGCACAAAAGTTTGGAAAACGTATTTGATATCAAGGGTGAGAAAAGGAAGTCAAGAAAAGCTAAAACTAATGATAAGCGCGGGAAAACGTGTATGAAGTCGTTGAACGTCCTCGAATGAGCGTGTGTCACCTTCATTCTGTTGGCTGAAGTCAAGAAAACAACTTGGTTTGTATTTAGAGCGATTTCAATAAATGCTTTAAATGTTCCCGACTTGTTTCATCGGCTAGTAATTGATGATCAAACTACGCTTTGCGCATATTCCTGCTAAAAATATTCGTACACGGAGAGAGCACGGCTTAATTGACCTAACCATAAAAATGCTGAAAAGCAGTCTTTTTCTTTTTCTAGCGTTCGCCGACACGAATGCGATCGAGCGGTGAGCGGCGGGGATTTCAGGAAAAAAAGCCGACTGTTAGTAGGCTAACTCTTGCCTAGTTCCCAGGCCTCGATATTTCGCCGCGGCCAATCGATTTCAGGTGTCACCGACTTCCGAGTTGCCTTGTACCTCTGTTTCAAAACGAGTCTTTGGGCAAAACCTTTCATATAAAAATGAGTTTGATTGGGATGAAAATAAACCTGTAAGCGAAAAACATTTTCCTAATGAGCTGGAAGACTCACGCACAGACTCGTTTTGACGCAGAGGTTAAAGGCAACACGGAACTGACCTATCGAACGTGAAGGCCTGGAGGAAAGACGTACAGGAACCAGGCAACTCTATTTCTAGGTCAAACGAAAATCGCTCTGTCGTATATAAGATGTGCGTAGCTTGTGAGAAAGTTTATGATGTGCTTCAAAATTTGACTTCTTAAATAGTTCCAATAATAAATAGTTCATATATTACGACCTAATTCGTTCGTTTTAATCGTACAACATTTGATAAAAGAGAAGTCAAAATTAACAACACTCAGTTACAATATCGGTGCAGGAATATTAAGTCAGACTTGTTAATTTGCGGTATTTTTAAGTAAACAATGAACAAACATGACGTCAACGCGGTTACGCAGTGGTTCGTAACAGACGTAAAGTTTCTTCGCATCACGCCACAAAAAAATTGTCAAGGTTTTACTGAATAAAAACATTAACGAAATCAGTTTTCATGTGCTTTCGCCACACGCGTTCTTAAGAGTTTTAGAAGTGTTTAAGTGAATATTAGATGTATACTAGTTTTCGGCGATTCATTAACAAAAGATCGAGTATCCATCGTTCTCCTAAATGCTGTAATTCACAATGCTTGACAGTAAGTTAAATAAGTTTAAATAAGGTTTTAACAGTTATAAAAAGCACTGAATCAAAAGGCTACTGACCTTAGTTTCTCCTTCACTTCAGCAGTGGGTAGCTTTTTCCATTCAAGGGCTACATCTCTGCCAAGAAAAGCGTCGTGGTCGAAATCTGTATTATGTTCGTTGAGTTTGTAATGTTCCTGAGGTGACAACACGTCTTTTAAACGTAAACGTTTGCGCAATTGTGGGAGTACATCCCTGTCCGCGGACACCTTGAAAGTACAAACAGAGAGCAACACAACGAAAACCGCGCTTAAAATTCGAAACATTTTGAACTGCTCTCACGTAGAGATGTAACCCAACGAGCGTTCAGCAGAAGATTAAAACGTGGAAAGCATCAAGCGGATGTGTTGAATTTATTTCCTTTCGTGTTTTAGCCACGTTGCCTAAATATCGGCTGATGTGCGCCCTTCCGTTGAATAAATGTTAAAGAGAATAACACGTTGCGTAACATTTTAAGTTGTCGTATGAACTATACCTCTTTGATATTAAGCACGGAATCAAGGTTTTGCAGGAATTATTTCTGTCACGAACTTAGAAACTGAGCGCAAAACAAACAGCTTCTAAACCCAAACTTAGTTATTTGTCGATATGTAATAATGTTATGCGTTATGAAGAAAATACTAGAATAAAATAGTTTGGTTTCGCTTACATTTGCTGACGCTGTTAACAACATTGTATATTTTTACGTAAACGCAAATGTTTATTTGGATGACAGGAAACCATCTCAATATCACCTTGTATTATGTTCAAACAATGAGCTAGAATAAGCTAACCAACCGAGCATGTAATCATAATACTCATATAAACTGATGCGATATTCGATTGTGCGTTCAACACCGAAGCACTTAAATTTGACCTCTGCAGTGATAATGTACCTCTGGTAAAGATCCATTTATTCCCAATGATTCAGCACTTTCAGAGGAAATAACTTAGACGCCGGCAATTTAGTGCATTGGGAATAATTCTGTTTTGCTGGGCATTGCAATAAATGCAAAAATTCACATAATTTGCTCCGCCCAACTCCCAGCGCTAACGCTGCTTTTCTTTTAACCAATCAGCTACAAAACCAGAACCGACCGTCGTGACCCAGAGTACACGCGGTTTCCCGAGCTTTGCGCCGGTTGCGTGTTTTCTTCACGTTCTGATTGGCTTATTGCGCCATTTGCTTTGTCGTGATTGGTCAGATTGGTCAGGCGTTGATTTTGTGTTTTATGAGTGTCACTTCCCAACCTCCAGAGGCGTAGCCAGGATTCGTGAAAGAGGTTTGGGTTTGACTAGTCAATTTAAAAATAAAGATAATAATTTTCATTGTTAGCATAAAATTATTTTCTGATATTCTTCCAAAGCCGCCAAACTTAACATATAAGTGAAATGTGCTACTTCAGCTGGCTTGGCAATCACTGCCTCACAAACCAAATAAAGTTTATTTCCAATTTCAAAGACCGTTCTGTGCTCCGATTGTGCACCAGGTTCCAATTTGCTATTTGACTTTCAAAGTTAACATGGTATCACACCATTTTGAAAAAGTAGTAAGGCAATGTTGTTTTTAAGGTTTGTATCTTGAGAAATTAATTTTTCCAGTTCTGCAAACCTGTTCTTCCAACGTGTTTTGCGTGCTTTTCATTTAGAGGCAAGACGGTTGTTGCAGCTGGTGAGAATTTTTTGTGACAATGTCACCCCACATTTACCGAAGATGTGAATTGCTATGTTTTGTAGAGTTGTGTGCAGTTTTTTCGCTACCCGCAATGATACGAAGAGCTGCTAGAAAACAGAAAAAGCCCGAAACATTCCTAATTCAACTCTGACTTAAAAACCCTTCTACGTAGTAAACGTGGTTTTCGATTTTCCTTAAACAAACAAACAAACGAACAAACAAAAATAAATATTTTACAATCTGATTGAAGTGAAAAATTTGTAGTTTATTTAGCACCATGTGACACTGAGATATTTCAAAACACAATTTACAAACAGATTCTTCTTCCAAGAGATGATCTAAGCTGCTGATTATTTTTACAGCTCATCTTTAACATCCTTATCTTCCGATTTCTTCTCATCTTCAGGTTCTTTAACTTCTTTGGTTTCTTTAGCTTCTTCATTAGCTTCTTTAGTTTCTTTAGCTTCTTCATTAGCTTCTTTAGTTTCTCTGGCTTCTTCATTAGCTTCTTTATTGTCTTTCGCTTTTTTCGCTTCTTTAGCTTTTTTCCCTGGTCTGTGCGAAAACGGACACCTGCCGTCTTGAGGTTTGCTTTCAGCTTGTTCCTTACCCTCGCGTACCGTTTTAGCGGCAGATAAAAACAGTTCAGTATTTTTCTTTATTTCATCTGTACTCAGGAAGCCATCCTGTGACAAAAAAAAAAAAGATATATTTTATTCTCAGACTGATATCAACATCACATAACTTTACTTGTTAAAAACTGGATAAAGTATTTCTACCATGAGCGCGCGTTTAATATGCGAAGGTAGATAGCCAACGAAGAGGCAGCGTGGCCGAGTGGTTTAGGGCGCCGGTGTTGTAATCTGAAGGTCCCGGGTTCAGGGCCTCCACCCTGCCACTAGCGGGTTTTGTTTCTCGGTGGTCCCGAATCCAAATCCTCGGTCACGCTTTGTAAATAGCCAACTGGTCTGCCCCCTGTCAGTTGGGATTTTTAACCATGTTACGTTTATTTGAAATATCTGTTTCCCTTGTTTCAGTGGCATGGCCGTAAATTAGCTAAGCTTGTTGCTTGTATAGCTAAGTGCATGACCACTACAAATAAGATTTACATTACATTTTCACCAATTATGTAGCGTAGTAATTCAATAATCATTTCATATCTAACAAGGGCGAGTGGAACAATTGCTCTATTAAAAACGCTGCAAATAAAGAAAACTAAACTAAAATAAAAACAAGATAGGGCATGGTACGATGGCTAATTTACCATGATGGGTAAGCCAGTGAAAACTCGTAAATTAAATTATCCAATTATCCAGTTTTGTATAAAAATAATTGCTCCAATTGCGCTTGTTCTATATATATGAGATGATTACAGCAAACGAGGCGCGTAGCGTACCTAGTAATGCAGAACCGATTCAAAAGAGAACTTCTTTTGACAGTTAGAGCGAACACTAAAATTTGACTATTAGAGATCTACGATAACCTCGTCGTAAACTAGTTCTTGGTCATGAAGGAACTGTTCTCCGACACAGTGCATCAATTTCTTTTGCAGCCATTAGTCATATTTTCCTACCTTGTTTTCGTCCGCCGTGTCCAAGAAGTGTTTCGCTTGTGTTTTCGCTTTAGAAGCGGTGTTAATTGACCTCAGCCATAGCTTTATCTCCTCCTAAAAGAAAATATGCGATGTCAACGAAGTATCGAAGTTATGAAATAACTTCTATATATCACATGTTCTGATCCGGTGGCCAATCCGAATTAACGTACAAGGAAAAACGAAGATTGCCGAAGTCAGACCGAAGAAACCATTTAAACCTTACGGTTCCCGAGAGTAGCACGAGTTGTCTCGAGGGTTTCCGACTATAAGCCAAAGATTGGGGAAATTTTGAATTACGTACTTAAATCAATCTGTTGGTGTATGATCGCAACATCTTCGGATATTCCTAGGAAGTCTTCGGTAATCTTGGGCTATCTTCGGAAATCTTCGGTAATTTTCGGAAAATGTTCGGAAACGACTTCGTATCTCCGTGCGGCCATGTAATGTCCTCTATATATCTGTCATTACATTCCTATACTTTCAGAAACAGGCACTAATAAAAAGCTCACTCGGTCGAGGTAACCATCTTCATTCTTATCTTGCTGGTTAAAAAACGTATCTGCAGCTTTTCCCCTCTCTTTACTTCCCTTGAACATCTTCGCTGAAAATAAAAAACGACGTGAATTCCATCTGTAAGCACACCATTGAATTCCATTTGATTACTCTTTATTGAAGGTTTATTTTCAGTAGAAATTATAAAGCCAACGTAATTCCAAAGACGATAGACTGTTCACAGCCTTCTATTTTCTCCTATTTTTATTCGATCGTTGAACGCGCGAATAGAATCGCGAGCTGGACGCAAAACGGGCGACTTGACACGGTAGGGGGTGGGGACCGATTCTTTGTTTGGCTCGCTTCACTCGCCTCCCCGTCCCCACCCCCGTGTGCTTCGCGCTCGCTTTGCTCGCTTTTCTTTAGCGTGCGTTGGAAAATAGGGAGGCTGTGAACAGTCTACAGAGGCGAAAATAAGAACTTGCGAAAAGACTTGACCTGGTAGCAGATTTGGAAAAAAATTTCTTAAGTCAAATCAAGATTGGTTTCGTTCTTCATTTGATTGGCTAAGAAAACAATGTCTAAGCGCTGATTGGTCAGAACATATACTACGTGTTGAATTCAGTGCTGACACAAATGGTGATTAAAGGACCTACGTCACAGTTTGCACATCTTGAAAAGTTAACCCTAAATTTTTCAAGTCCGTCGTTTGTAATCCGTGCCAATCTTCACCATCCTTAACCGTCCTTGTTCCTTTATGGCTTATTATTATCTCTTTGGTGTTTTTCCATCTTAGCAAACTATTATTTTCAGGTTTTCTCTAATTAAAGTTACTTTTGTTCGTGGCCAAAATAACTCAAAATTCCGTGAATAGGAAGAAATTTAATGCAACCTAATGGCATTAGGTACTGCCAGAAATACAAAAATGCTATTTTGCCTTCTACACCAATTGCAATCTTCACAGATTTTAGCTCGTCGAAATGAATTTTTAACCTGGCTTCAGATCGCTGATTTTGCAAAACATTTCTTCACTTTTAAAGAGGAGACAAAATTGTACGAATCGATCGTGGAATATTGAAATCAACTTGATATTTAGCTCAGTTCTACAGTTCAAATCAACAATTGTTGACATGTATTTCATAATCTTCCATATCTTACAACAAGAAAACTTTCAAGTTTGAAGGCGAAAAATTACGGCTCTTGCCTGTGTATACAGACGTCAGAAAAACAAAAATTTTTTCGTAATACCTGATGTAATTTATACCTACTTTTATACTCCTTTAATGATAAACGTCCATCTTTGTCAACGTCTCCAATCCCCATATATTCCTATATGTTAGAAGAAAAAGAGATTTTGATTAAATACATTAAATCAAATATCTTAAGTTACCACTTCCCAATGGGGCTTTTCGGGGCCAGTGGAAACAAAGAATGTAAATGAACATAACATGGTTAAAAATCCCAACTGGAGGAGACAGATCAGCTATTTACAAGCATGCCGAAGAGATAAACTTTAGAACGGTCTTTCTCTTTTCATCTCTTTTACTTTCGCCGTATTATTATCGTTGGAAAACATTGCCGTTCACTTTCGGGTAGCAGTGAGCAAACGGTTTGTTTTTTTTTAGAAGGAAACGGGGTGTTAATGGATGATTATTTGGAGGGTGGGGCAAAGGGAGCATTGCCCCCCTCCCACCCCGTGCTCCTCTTCCTTTTTCCTTGGGAGACTCGCAATTCGTTTATTACAAAAAGGCCAAGAAGGAACAGGCAATATCAACAGCAGAGAACGAACATAGAAGAGAACAGAGTCGATCGTACCTCATAAATCACATCATGCATGTGTGGCTTCTCTTGGGCATGGAACATGGAGTTGAGTTCATTTTCCGACAACAAGTCATCTTTATCAGTATCTGCGTGACGAAATCTTATCTTCTTCTGTTCTTCTGTTGCGGCTGTGAATAGAGATTGACGGTAAAGGAAATAATTAAAGACAATTGTCATACCCAAGTAGATCGTGCTCTTTCGTTATATCGCATTCGTCTTGCCCTTAAAGGAGCTTTGTCACGATATTTTGAGTT